GACACTTATTTTGGCCTTAGATGCACTTGCTCAGGCTTATCTTATTCTTTTAATTCTGAAGTTCTACTCTTCAACAGTTAGGCCAGAACTGGCCTTGAATCTGGAAACAAGAGCAGGTGTAAAGACAATGCAATAGATGGTGGACTTGTTTTGCAGGTACGTGTTGAGAGAAAGAGCACCACTCATGTATAGAAGAGAGGCTTGAAAGAGTGGACAAAGTGGAGTCTAGGACAGGCACAGTGGCTCACGCCTGTAATCCCAGCACTTTGAGAGGCCGAGGCAGGTGCATCACCTGAGGTCAGGTGTTCAATTCCAGCGTGGCCAACAGAGTGAACCCCATCTCTACTAAAAATACATCCATCTCTACTAAAAATACACACATTAGCCAGGCATGGTGGCAGACATTTGTAATCCCAGCTACTCAGAAGGCTGAGGTAGGAAAATCACTTGAACTGGGAGGTGGAGATTACAGTAAGCTGAGTTTGTGCCACTGTACTCCAGCCTGGGCAACAGAGTGAGACTCTGTCTCAAAACAAAAGAAAACAAAACAGAAAAAAACACAGTGAGGTCTAGCTGGCAGCACCAAGGCCATCAGCCCATTGTAGGATTGGGCACAGCTACTACTGGAAAAAACTGCATACTGGGATTGCCTCTTGTCCTGTATATGGCATCTGCATTGATTCTAAATTCTCTCCACATGGAATGAAGCAATGGTGCTGGTAAGCTTGCTTTCTGAAAAGAAAGAAGGAAAGAAAAAAAGGCCCTGGTCTGTAATATTAGCCAATATTTCAGTGTAAATATTTTGATTTACAGCCAACTTCCAGTTACCAAGGTTGACTTGCTCAAAAGATTCCTGAATATTTAACAACCAGCTCTCTGGGGCTGGTACCCACAGCTCCAGCATACCACTGGCTACGAAACAGATCACTACTCACCACTTCCAGGCTTTGACTTTGCCACTGCTGGATTTGTGCTCTGTAGCAAGCTCTTAATTTCCTCAAACTGCAGTTCTCTTTTGAAAAATGGGAGCTGAGATGATGCAGTAACGCCACTTGGATTCTCTGTTGAACCTACACCACTTTTCTATGAGAATTGCATCCTTCCTGGTGCTCCCTAGTGGTGCCATATTCTGCCTGATTGTTATCGTTTAACTTCATTTTGGAGTCTGGCAGATATCCCAGCTGCTTCCAATAAATGCTGTTCTGCGTTCAGGGTCTGAGTGGGATTTTCTAAGTTGCAACTACTAGAGCTTGAAATAAGGCCGAAATGATTCCCAAGGCCATTGTGAGTGCTGATATTACACCAGTGGTTCTCAGAGTGTGGTCTGCCAACCAGCAGCATCAACTTCACTTGGGGACATGTTGAAAATGTCAGTTCTCAGGGAACCACCGCAGACCCATTAAATCAGAAACTCTAGGGATGGGACCCAGCAATTTGTGTTTTCACAAGCCATCCAGGTGATTTCCATGTGTACTCAAGTTTGAGAACTGCTGCATCACTATTCTAAGGATGGTATGACTTATTTGAGAAAGGAATTTTCAGGCTGATCCCATTTTCTTTTCTGATTAATGAAGGGCAAAGTTAGTGTTTTATTGGTTAAAAAAATGAATTTTTATAAACAAAATATATATTACTATTAGAACTTGAAAGACATCAATTTTCTTTTCTCCTTTTTTTCTATTTTAGTTGCAATGGACCGAGACTGACATTTCAATGACTAGCCTAAAAGAATATAAGGAGAAAAAAGTGCAGGCAATGAAACACTGCCAATAAATAAGCAGAAGTAAAAAATGTGCACCAGATAATTTCAAGATAGTGAAGGCCAGAAAGAAATACAGAACAGGAAACCCAGATGCTGCCTGCATTGGAAAAGATTTCACAAAATGTGCCATTAACATGCTGAAGTGACTAAGCATTTCTGGCATTAGGAAACCTTTCAAGAGTCCACTAATGATTGATTTACATAAGTACAGTAAAAAGTGAAACAGGAAACTTTGACTTAACTTCGTCCTGACTTATATCAAAAGCATAGTTTTCACTGTTAGATTTGGAGAGATGTGGCTGAACAGACTATTCAAATGGATAGGGCTTGTTGGTCAGCTGGTTGTTTGAAATGAACGCTTTTTTTTTCTATGGAAAATCATGCCTTTGGAGAGCAGACTGCAGACTGGATGATGGAATCCTTAATGGAAGTAAACTGGAGGGCTACTAATTGGTAATCGTGCAGGTGATTGTGAGGAGTGGGGCCCAGGAGAGGAGCTGCAGTTTGGCAGTTCCTTCTTAGCCCCTAGAGGGCAGCCCTTAAGCTGGGGTAGAAAGAGGGGTGAGGTGGAGGGAGGGGAATCAGGGACGGACAGAGTCCTCTAGCGGGAGGAAAACAGGCTGAAAGGGACTCCCTTTCCAGAAATGTCAACAGTATGGGGTCTGAGGGTAGGGGAAGGTTCTGCAGCTGAATAACTGAGAAAAACAAACTGTATTTTCCTCCATGTTTACACTCACACTCCACTTCTGGCTGCCAAATGTACAGGGGTTATTCTGTGTCGGAATAATTCACCAGTCTTCTGCAGATACCAACTGGGTGTCCAATTCCAGGCTGCATTGATGAATATAGACCACAGACCCCACAAGACTAACCCCTACTCCAGTGTCAGTAGTCCCAGCTTGAGATCTGTATTCTGAATCAAGGGTTCCCATAACCCCCTTCTCAGGTTCAGTCATTTACTAGAAAAGTCACAGGACTTGGGGAAACCCTTAACTTATGTTTACTGCTACAGATAAACAGCCAATGAAGATACATAAGGTGAGGTCTGGAAGGGTGCCGGGCACAGGAACTTCTGTCCCTGTGGAGCTGGGGTGTGTCAGCCTCCCAGCACATGGCCAAATTCTTGTTCACAAACCCAGAAGCTCTTTGAGCCCCGTCCTATTGGGTTTTTGTGAGTTTTTGATTGATTTAAATCATTGGCAGTAGTGATTAGCTCAACGTTCAGCCCCTCCCTGAAGGTGAGAGCCTGGTGCTGAAAGTTCTAACCCTCTAATTACATAGTTGTTTCCCCTGGCAGCTAGCCTCCCTCCAAGGCTCTCCAGGAGGCCCCAGCCTAGTTATCTCATTAGCATACAAAAGATACCCTTCTGAGATTATAAGATTATATTATAATATTTCTTATTATAAATCACAATATCTCAGAGACCAAATATGTATGTTATTAGTATGTTGGATAATCAAGTTGGGAACTGCCCTACTTGCGAACTACTGCTGTGCTCACACTCCACTGTGGTATAGACCTCTGAAGCAAGTTTGAATAGCACAATGGTTATGACTGTTGGCTGTTTACTGTCAGATGGAACCTGATTCCTCCATTTACCTGCTGTGAGACCTTGGGCTAGTTACTAAATCATCCTGTGTCTTAATTTCCTCATCGGTAAAATAGTGATGATAAGGTAACAATAAAAAATATGATTGTTACCTTATTGTGTTAAAAGAGATATGACAAGAGATATAGATGATTTGCCACCAAATATGTGTATAACTGTGCCACCACCACAGGGTTCCTAAACTTTTGTAATTTCCTGAATGATAGAGATGCTAGGTACATTATTGTTCTAATATTTTGTTTTTGATCTTGATTCCTGACACAAAACTTCTAATCCCTTGGAATTTTCTGGGTGATAGGAGTTTCTTTTGTTCAAAAATTTTTGCTAGACTCCTAGAAGGGGATTGGTCACCAGAAAGATTACACTAGGATGAGAAAGTTGAAATTTTCAGCCCCATTTTCTATCCTTCAGTGAGGAAAGAGGGGCTGGAGATTGAGTTACTAATTGGTCATTCCTACATTAAAAATTCCTGAACTATGAGGTTCAGAGAGTTTCTGCATTGGGTAACAGACCCACAAACTGGAAGGGTGATGCATTTCAATTCTACAAGGACAGAAGCTCGTGCACCCAGTCCCTTTTGGACCTCGCTCTCTGTGTTTCTTCATCTGGCTATTTATTCATCTATATCCCTTATTATATCTTTTTAACACAATAAACTGGTGATGATAAGTGAGTGTTCCTCTGAGTTCTGTGACCCATCCTAGCAAGCGATCAAACCTGAGGAGGGCATTGTGGGAACTCTGATTTACAGCCAGTCTATCAGAAGCACAGGTGACACCTAGGACTTGTGATTGGCATCTGAAATGGGGGCCAGTCTTGTGGGATTAAGTCATTCACTGGTCAGGTCTATGCTAACTCTGGTTAAAATCAGAATTGATGGAACTGTAGGATATCCAGTTGATGTCCCACAGGAGAATTGATTGTGTGGGAAAAAAGCCCACATACCTGGTCACAGAAGTGTGTTGAATGTGAACATACAAAAAAAGTTTATTTTTTCTCTACTATAATAATAGTAGGATTTACCTGACAAAGTTGTTTTGAGAATTCAGTGATATATTGCATGTAAAACACTTATCACACTGAGCATTTAATGTATGCTAAATATTGTCATTTGTAATTAATCACTGAGATGCCTTAGATGATTCTCATTCTTCTTGAAAAAGATAGTGATAGATTAGAGTTTAGCTAGAGAGGACAATTAGCTAACACATGTATGAAGTATAAAGAGGACTTAATGGTTGTAAGAAATTGCTTCTACTTCTTATGTTAGCTGGTGGCTCACTTCTCTGGATCTTCACAGAAGATCCTACCAATAAAAATTCATATTAGGAGCATGATTTATAGGAACTTAGGAATTCTAGAGAAAATAAATATAGGAAAAATTTCCATAATTTATGATGCAGAAATAGGTATTTATTATTACAGTTCTTATTTCCTTCAATATGACTGCTGTTTGAAGGAAATAGGAATAGAAAACAAACCCTGCTAATAATGTAGAGAAATTCTCTAGATATATTTAGTCAAGGGCCTAGCTCTTCTGACACAATGAAGGTTTTTGCCTTCATTGTGCTGGGTAAATATACATATACACTGCCCTTTAGGGTTTTGAAATGCTTTAAAATACTTACCGGGTTACAACTGTTTGACTCCAACACAGAGTCCCAGTGGTATGCGGCCAAAGCAGTCTTGGTTAGCATGTGTCTGTCTCAGAAATTTGAAGATCCCTGTGTGGAAACTTTGGCTTTCATCAGCGACTTGGGCAGGTTCTGTTGGAGCATCCCTGTTTCCTGTGAACAACTTCATCCCTGTAACACACCATTAAAGTCTAAGTACGTGCAGAGCAAAGGACGAATTTGAAAGAAACATGAATCCTTGTACCATGAAGCTGGGGTTTGAGAGCTCTCCCATTCATTTCTCTGGGTTTGTCCTGGTTGGTTGTACATCCTCAGTCACTGCATGAGTTTCCAGGAGGGCCAAGATGGTGGGGTCACGAAAGAATAAATGGAGAACTTTGGGATATGACTGGGAGATTGGGCCAAAAGGATTTGCTAATGGAGTGGATGTGACATTTGAATAAAAGAAAAGATCAAAGATGACTTTAAGATTTTGACCTGATCGAGCTGAAGTTTTTTCCTAAGGTGGCATACACAGAGTGAGGAGCCAGTTTTGTGAGGGGAAGTGAAAGACTTGGTTGGGTCAGTCTTATTGTTACCTATGTAAAAAACCATCCAGTGACTTAAAGCTGCAATTGATTATGTTTCGTGTTTCTGTAGGTTGACTGGACTTAGCGAGGTGATTCTCTGTTTTTCTCTTGCAGTTACAGTGAGACATCTGGGGCTCATTTATATGGCTCTTGTTACCCCTGGTCCTCTACTGGGAGCTGAGCAAGGGCCGTCCATGGCAGTGCCAACACATATTGCTTGGCTTTCTTACAGAGAGGTGGCTGAGTTCCAAGAGGGAATGTCCCAAACAGTTGCATTCCAAGAGAGCCAGGTGGAAGTTCCAAACATTCCTATGACCTAGCCTAACAAGTGCACAAAGTGATTTCTGCTGTATTTTATTGATCAAGCAAGTTATGAAAGCCAGACCCTATTCAAGGGAAGGGGAGTAAGGCTTCACTGCCTGATAGGAGAAGCAGGGAGGGAAAGAGTTGTTGACAACCATCTTTGGACAACCTGTATCACTGATGTTGTAAATTTGAAATATGTATTGATATTCAATCTGGAACTCAAGGAGTGATTGGGTCTGGAAACTGGGCAGGAAATTCTGTAATTGTGGGACCAGCCTAAACTGGGCCTACTCTGTTGATAACAAAGTGTTAAATTTACCTTGTAGGTATAATAGAGTCAAAAAACCATAAGTCATATAACTGGGAGGTGTGCAATAGAAAAACCTTTGACCTCTAACAATACCCAGAACCAGTGATTCCTTCTCTCAGAACCAAGAGGACTGGGAAATGACTGGAAAATGAACACTGGAATGCTTTCAGAGGGAGGCGTCCATTGGCCTGGAAGATCTGGGGCTAAAGTCCACCTCAGCATACCTAACTGTAAATGGCAAAATTTGAAGCCCTCCAATCAGACCAAGCCAACATGCCCAGATCCTTTCCTTGCCCTCAGGCCCATAAACTCACCCCAGACCCCAAACCAAGGAGACAGATTTGAACCCAACTCCTGTCTTTTGCTGGCAGGTTTTGCAATAAAGCCTTTCTTTTCTCAAAAGCCAGTGCCATGGTTATTGGCTTTTGCACTCAGCAACCCCTTTTGCTCCGTGACAAATTCCTCCTCTCTGTTTGGAGCATTATACCTAATGTTAACTTAGAAACAAATTGCCTTCCTGTATGTTTCCTTTAAGTGATCTAGTTGGAATTATGTTATTCTGTTGGATATGTCTGTGGTAGCTAATAAATGAACTACATATTTTAATCATACTTAATATTTATCAATTGCTTAACACTATGCCTGTGTTAAGCAGCTACTGTAGACAAGTGTTGATCATTGTTATTAACTATTATATATATATGTATATTACATTTCCTTATTCATGTTCTTTCAAAACCAGATAGATATCCCTGGATCCATGATGCACTAATCTGCTGTACTCACATTGGGTTAATTGTTCTTGAGGTTGTACAACAGTTCAGATGACCTGAATATTCATGTTTGCATCTGGAGCCTTCTGACATATCCCTAGAGTCTACTAAATCTATAAAAATTTAAAATGTGTTTTCCTATTTATAATACTATTAATGTAATAAAAATATTACTGGAGCTCAACCTGGAGCCTTCTGATATATCCGTAGAGTCTATTAAATCTATAAAAATTTAAAATGTGTTTTCCTATTTATAATACTATTAAAGTAATAAAAATACATTCTAGAACCCCTACATTAGAGGAGCCTCTGATTACTAGGCCTTTAGTTTAATAAAATGTGACTAGAGTGACTCCATCTTAAAGCACGTAGCTAGGCCGTCACAAAGCACCTATACAGTGAATGCTATGGTCTGCCAATAGCTGCATTCTTAGCTGACTGCCCTGATAATTGCAGAATATCTCCCACCAAGCCAGCAGAATGTCCAGATGTCCTAAGAGTGCAGCCCACTTTACTTAAATATAATGTTAATGGGCAGGCTTAGGTTGAAGGATTAACGGTCATTGATAGCACCAATAGCCCCTACCTTCAGTGAGCACATCTATACATTCTACGTTTAATTATAACTCCTTATAGTTTCTTATAAGTAGAGGCACTAACAAAGAATGCCACGTTCTTCCTGTTTTCTGAGAATGCCCTACTCTATAACGAGTAGTGTCTAGTAACCTTGCTTCTTTCACTGTGCTCAGGGATTTGCCCTGAATTTCTTTTCTCTGCAATATCCAAGAACCCTCTCCTGGCATCTAGTTGGGGACCCCCTTTTTGGCAACATCTTGACCACCTCCTTTTACTGAAGTCCCCCATAAAGTTTTGCAAGGCACTTGCTTTGAACACATGGTCATGTTAATGCCAAGGAAACCCACATTCTGTTACAATATACATGCTGAGGTTTTGTGGTCACTGCATAGAGAAAGGCAGTGGGAGAATGAATGGCTGGGAACATCTCTACATGAAGTCGTAAAGACTGCAGAGCTGTCTGGAAGTATAAATTCAGTCAGTGGTTTTGTTGTGAAATCCTGTCTTCATATACACAAATTAGCAATGGTCAATTAGCAGTAAATGCCATAGTGAAAAACAAAGAATTTTTTCGTTTAACACTGTTTTTAAATTTCAGTGTTGTATTTTGGAGTGTGCTAATTGGCCTTTCAAGATAATGGATCTATTGTTTTAAGAAAGCTTTATTTTCTAAAAAGAAAATAATTACAGTGACAATAATGGTTCCAGTGCTGCATGTGGTGGCTCATGCCTGTAATCCCAGAACTTTCAGAGGCCAAGGTGGGAAGATTGCTTGAGCCCAGCAGTTCAAAACCAGCCTGGGCAACAGAGTGAGACTCTGTCTCTATAAAGAATAAAATAAAAAAATTATCCCAGCATGGTAGCATGTGCCTGTGGTCCTAGCTACTTGGGAGGCTGAGGTGGGAGAATTGCTTGAGCCGAAGAGATAGAGACTTAATTGAGCCCTGATTGTGCCACTGCACTGAGCTTGGGTGACAGAGAGAGACCTTGTCTCAGAATAATAATAATAATATTAATAATAATAGTTCCAATGGCCAAGATTTGCAACAAGTAAAACTAAATACATCAGTATATTTTCTACTATTAAACCAAACATGAGCATTAGTGGCAGCAAATAATATCAACCATTAGTCTGAATTAATATTGATAATTTTAATTTTATTAGTTTTGTAGTTTAGTTTGTATGTAATTTATCCCTTTGATTTAGTCTTATATTTGCATAAGAGCTATGCATATATGGCATTTATATTTCATTTATCTTAAACATAATTAAAATGATTTGTCAACACTAATGATTTATAGTATTTTTCCATTTAAAGGGTTACTTCATTATTCTTGTTTAAGAAACACTGACTTAATGTTTCCTATAAACCCAAGAAACATTCTTGACATCTGGCTAGGAAGAGGGTTTAGAAAACACACTATAAGACCCATTTTTTTCCTCCTAGAGATGTTGATAGACTTGGAAAATTCTTGATCTAGTTTGTTTCTGTTGCAGTTGCTTTGCTTTGCAGATATTTAAACAGGTGTGTTCAATGGTTTTCTGGAGGAATTTGCTCATGACACTCCAGTGAAACTAATCTACTTTCATTTCTAAGAATGTACCAAGATCTTTCCCATCTCAGTACCTTTGTTCTTACCGTGGCCTCTGCCTGGTCTAGAGCACTGATATGGTTTGGTTATTTGGCTATGTGTCCCCACCCAAATCTCATCTTGAATTGTACTCCCATAATTCCCACATGTTATGGAAGAGACCCAGTGGGAGATAATTGAATCATGAGGGCAGTCTCCCCCATATTGTTCTTGTGGTAGTGAATAAGTCTTATGAGATCTGATGCTTTTTATCAGGGCTGTCTGCTTTTGTGTCTTCCTAATTTTCTCTTGTGCCTGCTGCCATCCATGCAAGATAGGACTTGCTCCTTCTTGCCTTCTACCATGATTGTGAGGCTTCCCCAGCCATGTGGAATTGTAAGTCCAATTAAACCTCTTTCTTTTGTAAATTGGCCATTCTCAGGTATGTCTTTATCAGCAGCATGAAAATGGACTAATTCAAGCACCTTCTTCTGCTTTTTGCATGGCTAATCCTTTTTAGTCCCTGCGTCTCTGCTTCAACATCCTTTATTCAGATGCCTTCGGTGACTGCTCCTGTCTAAAGGAGCCTGCTCTTATTATCTCTCATCACCTTCTTTATTTCCCCCAGACACTTGCAGGATCTCTCACTCTAAAATGTTCATTTTACAGATTCATTGCTTACTTCCCTCATCAAACTGTAAGATATAAGAGGGTAGGCTCCACATCTGTCTTTTTGACCATTGTATTGCCAGCATCTAGTACACATTATGGCACATGATAGGAACCCAGTAAGCATTAGTTAAATTTGGAAATGGGATAATTCTTGCTTTTATGACTTAGTATATTTCTGGAAACCCTATCATCTAGGATGCCATTGTGAAAGCCCTGAGACCTTATTCAATGGTGAAAATCATGTAGTGAGTGAATGAAAAGAACCAGCAAAGGGTGAAAGTGTATTGGTTGAGATGAGTGGTGAAATTGCTTGAGCCAAGGAGATAGAGTCTTCATGGAGCCCTGATTGTGCCATTGCACCCCGCCTGGGTGACAGAGAGAGACCCTGTCTCAAAAGGATACAAATAATAATAATTATTAGCAACCAAAAGTAGGGACCAGCTTCCCAATAAGTACAGATTTGCTATTTGAGCTGCAGATATTCAATTTTTATCCTTATTCTCATGGGTGGCCTTTTCTCATAGTTTGATGAGGGGATGGGGGGGGGGGAAATAATGTTTCCTTAAGGCCCTGTTCTACTAGACTGAAATTGATCTTAACAATTGATATCATGTCCCATTTTATATGGTGGCTTTCTTTTAAAACAATGCATAAAACAACGTGCATCTTACACACAGTGTACAGCACATTTGGGAGTCTACCAAATAAGATAACTCTATTTCTTTAAGGCAATTGGCTAATATTAATTTGTCCAGTGAAGGAACTTAGAGACACCTTGCTAGGAGTCAGCCACTATAGTAGCTTTTCTGCAAAAATGGCCACCAGCAATCCCTGTATACCATGCAGCTATTTCAGCCAAGAAGTAGAATCTTTCTTCTCTGTGTGATTCTAGGTTGACCCTGAGATTTACTTTGATCAGGTCAGTTGAATGTGGGAGAAGTGACACTGATTTCTGATCCTTGAGAGAGTTTCCAGTTCCTTTGGTGAGCCAGCTACCTTGATGTCAGTACAACTACTGAATAATGAGAGACCACAGAGAGAGAGAGAGTGAGAACGAGTGAAGGGTGGGGCAGGGGAATAGAGGGAGAGATAAAGAGAGAGAGAAAAGAGAGAGGTCCTTGGAGGAGAAGTGAGCTACCCTTGCCATCAGCCAGCATCAATGCCTAGCCTGTCAGTGAGGTCATCTTGGATCTTCCAGCCCCAGGCAACACCATGTGGAGCACAGGTGAACCATCCCTACTGAGCTCTGTCTGAATTCCTGATCCACGGAATCACGAACGATAAAATGGTTTTTGTTTTAAGCCACTAAATTTCAGGGTAGTTTGTTACACAGTAATAAATAACTGAGGCATCAAAAGAATTGGAATTTAAGTCCTACAAACTCTTCTCATGGTTTTCAACAATTTGGGACAAGCTCCCTCCCTCAAATAAAGAAATAAACTTTAATGATGTGAGCCTTAGAAGAAGTGGCAACGTTTCTCCCAGATCAGATTTCCTGGCACTAACAAAACAATCATTAAATGCTATAAGACGTCACAGTTCAAAACCAGATCCCACTGGGGTATTGTCATTTCCTCAAATTACCTTCCTACTTGCAATTATTTCTATTCAATGTGAGGGTGCCTCATTGAGTATTGGAGGCTCCTAGAAGATGTTTTCCTGCATAATGTAATGTAAAACTGTATAATCACCATGAAAGCCCATCTAAAAGTGTCCAGTGTTTCTAAATAAGAAATGATTGCCTTGCCATGGCAATTCCATAAGAGAGCAACCTTTGAATGACAAATGTTGGCTCAAGACCATTGTTAGTAGAATGATCTGTATCTGAAAAGTGTCAGAATTACTAGGGCACAGGAGTGCCCCCCAGAGCAACACTCTGGAGAAATACTGGAGGCAACTCCCCTGAGAGCTGCCACTTAGAACAGCCAGGCTGCTGATCAAGCAGGATATCCTCAGTGTGTGTGGTAGTTTCTCAATCGGAAGTATGAAAATCAGGAACATTGCGAAAGGGAGGGCAAGAGCTCTGAGCGATTAATATCCGGTGAAGTGTGAGAGGGACACTTGAGCTCCTTACTTTGCAGTAACTAACTTGGACTGGGAAGCTATTTTGGTAGCTAAGTGTGGAAAGTGAACATTAACCAAATAAGACCGTGGGATCATAAAGCTACGAATGTGCAGGAATTTGTGAGTCTGGTTTTCCTCAGCTTATTTGCTCTTTCAGAAGAAATTTTCCTCTATTGCTCCATGAAATATGAGTGTGTGTTTACATTTTAAAATAAACCGCATTATTATATCATTAGGTCCTATTATCCTAATCCACAGCTCAATCCATGTATGTAATCCAATAACTATAACAACTTTGACATTTCTTTAAAAGTAAACACAGTACCTTTTCCTCTGGGTTAGCCCAGTCTTCTTCTTCTTTTTTGTTTTTAAAGGAGAGAAAGAAAGGAAGAAAAAGGGATGAAGGAGGGAAAGACAGAGGAAGAAAAAGAGGGAGAGAGAACAGGAATGTTGTTTTATTCTAAAAATGGGTATTGAAAACCTCTTATGCCAATAATTGTACTTAATAATGGCTGATCAATATTTCATTTAAACCTATGAGTAGGTGTGATGTGATATTGATAAGAGTATATATTTTGTGTATTTTAAAGTTCTATAAATGTTTATTAAGTTTACTTGTTCCGGATCTGTGTTCAAGTCTTGAATATCCTTATTAATTTTCTGTCTCGTTGATCTATCTAATATTGATGTTGAAGTCTCCCACTATTATTGTGTGGGAGTCTAGGGAGTCTAAGTCTCTTTATAGGTCTTATGAATCTGGGTGTTCCTGTATTGGGTGTGTATATATTTAGCATTACATTAGCTCTTCTTGTTGCATTGATCCTTTTACCAGTCTTCTTTATGGGACACTAAAATTGAGAACGGAGTATCTTCTGCAGTCTTTGACTGACACATGAGGCCTTTTCTGGAGATAAGGTGGGGTTATAAAACTCCATGAGAGGCCAAATCCATCAGTCATTCCAGAAAACCTCACAGCCAGTTCTACTCCATATGAAATCTGTCTGGGCATCAATGTATTGATGGATGCAGTGAAGACGCAGATCAACACCATTCTTACTGCGATTCAGTGGAGTGTCGTACTTTGCTTTGGATGGCTGCATAACATCCAGGAGAGACATAAATATAAGAAGAAAACTTTGGAAAGGAATCATTATCAAAAAAAGCAAACCACAAAGGAAAGGTGAGTGTGTATTGGAAAAGTTCAGCCTGACAGATACTGCCCTAGATTCAGTGATTTGCCAGGAGGCAGAAAGAAATGTATCCTTTCCTACCAAGTGTTAAAAGCAGAATATCATTTTGTTATTGTTGCAAAAACACGTTGACACTTGGAAGCAACCCCTTCCTGAAGTGCCTGGGCTTTTCTCTGGACCCTGTCAGCAGCCCTGGAGGAAACAATGCCAGGTGTTACAGGCCATGCTTTACATAAATTCTCACTTGAAGCCTGGAGATCAGTATTAGTTTTCTTTAAATAAAGCTGGAAAAAATAACACAGGTTTCTTTCTAGCAAAGAAAGTAGGGAAATTCATACCAAATCAAAGACCCAGAGTTGAGTTTTCTGGGGTGTGACCCTTCTGTGTATTTTTGTTATTGTTGTTTGTTTGAGACAGAGTCTTGCTCTGTTACACAGGTTGGAGTGTAGCGGTGCGATCTTGGCTCACTGCAACCTCTGTCTGCCCGGTTCAAGTGATTCTCCTGACTCAGCCTCCCAAGTAGCTGAGATTACAGGTGTGTACCACGCCTGGCTAATTGTTTGTATTTTTGGTAGAGACAGAGTTTCACCATGTTGGCCAGGCTGGTCTTAAACACCTGACCTCAGGTGATCCGCCTGCCTCGGCCTCCTGAAGTGCTGGGATTACAGGCATGAGCCACCGCACCTGGCCAACTCTTTTGTCTTGACACAAATAGGTTAAGGTAGCTTTGTGGGTAGTAGTGAGAGGTGTCCTTGTGGTCTCTCACCAGTCCCCAACATTTCCCTTCACAGTACCTGAGTGTTTTCCCTTCTCTTCATAACACTCCACGGAAGGACCACCAATGAAGCCTACTACTAAAGATGCAAATATCCCTGGAAAAGGAGCTGGAGTGACAGGGACACTGATCCTACACCAGGACTGAGCACAGCAGATAGAGATGAAGCAGGACCCAGGAAATGTGTATTGCAAGTTTGAAGGTTGAGCGTCTATGGAACAGTGATCTTGCTGGAACACTCAGGTGAAGAATGAGAGTGGATAGTGAGGCTGAGAAGGACAGCTGAGATTTATCATCAGGGGAATCATAGACCTGAGTGAGATAGGACAAGCACAGGGAAAAGCACCATGTGTTCAAGGAGAGAACCTTTAGACATTGCAAAAGGGCCCATGGTTGGTGGAAGGGGGGCTTTCAAAGGTGAATGTGGTGAATCCTTACCTGCAGAAGGAGATGAAGGGGTGCTCCTGTTTTCCCAGGGTCTGAGATCAGGCTGGAACCATTGGCCGGAAACTTAGTTTCATGGCAGGCTTCTTCAGCCTTTCTGGCATCTGAGGACTAGTAGAACCAAACTCCATTACCCTATTCACTGACTTAAGTAGTATGTCATATCCTGCAAACCACTAGATTGTAAACACAATCTGTGATTTGCTTTCAGGGTGAGACTGTCAATATCTCAGGTAAGATTTTTGAGGGTCAGTCTAATGGCTACACCCAGAGCCTTGTCAGAGTCAAGCCCTCTGGGCTAGTCTAGGGAGCCATAGTTTGCTACTCAGAGTTGGGTTTGAAACAGTTGGGCAACAAGTCACTTTTCTTTATCTTCCTGTGTGTTTTCAGCAGTCATCATGATTCATATGACATAGTTCCTCGAAAGACCAAGAAAAAAGGTGACAAAACAAAATTCACACAATACTTCCTGTTTCCTATAGTGCAGGGATACATATTTTTTTCTTTCCATTTTTCTTTTTGAATAAGGATCTCACTGTGTCAACCAAGCTGGAGTGCAGTGGTGCGATCTCGGCCCACTACAACCTCCATTTCCTGGGTTCAAGCGATTTTCCTGCCTCAGCCTTCGAAGTGGAGTGCAGTGCTTTGACCTCCTAGGCTCAAGGGATCCTCCCACCTCAGCTGCCTGAGTAGCTGGGACTACCGACACATGCCGCCACACTTGACTAATTTATTTGTTTTTTGTAGAGATTGGGGAAGGGGGGCCTCACTACATTGCCCAAGCTGGTCTTGAACTCTTGGGATCAAGCAATCTACCTGTCACGGCCTCTTAAAGTGCTGGGATTACTGGCATGAGCCACTGTGCCCAGCCTTCATATTATTTATACAGTACATAGTCAAGAATGTCTGGGATTTCAGAGTTGGAAGTGTTAGGAAAGAAATATTTCTGTGATTAAATATAGATACCGGGTAACAGTGTCTGTTTCTAATTTATTTTTTATACTAATTTTTTCACTGCAAACAAACTAAAAGACAGTGACTTTTAGGCCAGCTGCAGTGGCTCATGCCTGCAATCCCAGCACTTTGGGAGGCTGAGGCAGGCAGATCACTTGAGGCCAAGAGTTTAAGACAAGCCTGGCCAACATGGCAAAACTCTGTCTCTAGTCAAAATATAAAAATTAGCCGGACGTGGTGGTGCATGCTTATAATCCAGCTACTTGGGTGACTGAAGCACAAGAATCACTTGAACCCAGGAGGCAGAGGTTGCAGTGAGCCAAGATCAAAATGTGGCCATGGGACCCCTGGGGATCCCTAGGTTCTTTCTGAGAGACCACAAGATTCTGCCTTTTCAACTATGTATCTTTATGTACTTCAGCCAAAACAATGTAAGTGACAGACTGAATACAGAAGTAGATATGAGATCTTAGCCATCTTCTCTGAGGCCAGACGGTAGATAAATCTATAAAAATATAACAATGCCAATCTTCTCATTGCATTTTGTGGGTGTTGGGGAAATATAGTTACTTTTCATGAAAAACATTATTAATGTTAAAATATAAAGAGTTTGTTATAGTTATTTTAAATGAATGAACACGTTACAACCATTTCTCAGTTTTAATTTCTAATCTAGTGAATATTAATACATATAAACCACACAAACAAAAGCTCTTTTTTTTAAAATTATACTTTAAGTTCTGGGATACATGTATAGAACATGCAAATTTGTTACATAGGTATACATGTGTCATGGTGGTTTGCTGCACCCATCAACCCATCTACATTAGGTATTTCTCCTAATGCTCTACCTTCCCTTGCCCCCACCCCCTGACAGGCCCGGGTGTGTGATATTCCCCTCCCTGTGTCCATGTGTTCTCATTGTTTGACTCCCACTTATGAATGAGAACATGTGGTGTTTGGTTTTCTGTTCTTGTGTTAATTTGCTGAGAATGATGGTTTCCAGCTTCATCCATGTCCCTGAAAAGGACATGAACTCATCCTTTTTTATAGCTGCAGAGTATTCTATGGTGTATATGTGTCACATTTTCTTTATCCAGTGTATCATTGATGGGCATTTGGGTTGGTTCCAAGTCTTTGCTATTGTGAACAGTGCTGCAATAAACATACTTAGTGCCTCACGAAGTTTTAAGAGGATAAAGGCATCCTGATACTGAGATGTTTGAAAACTCCTGTGTGAATTCTGGTTCATTTTCCTCAAGCTAATTCTCTGGGCTTTGTACCCATTCAAATCCCATTTCTTTAGCTTGAGTTTGTTACCACCTCCACCCTCTTCATTTTCCTTCCCAATAGCATGCTTATGTGCAAGGGTAATGTAAAAATATTTAGCACGTTGTATGGCATGGAAACCCACCAATACAAATATTTGCACAACTATGAGCAAAGATTCTGACTGAAAGGAAAAAGTTCAGTACCCTTGTCTCTGAACCTCTAGGGCTTTCCACTTGCAAATTCCATCTGCCTGTGGATATATAATTTCCTCTCTCATCCAAAAGACTGTCCTGCTTACAGGTGAATTCCAGGGGACTGGGCATAGTACCTAGCACATCAGAGGGCCTCAGCTGGAATCTGTGCATGAGTCCATAGTTATCTATCCTGAGTGCAAACTCTGTCTTACTTAGTAGTGTTCCTCACACCAGGTTGGAGGAGCACAACATAGGATTCCGTTATGGTGACAAGACTGAGAACAGTCACCAGCCACTTTCATCACCAACCTAGATTGCCTCAGGGAGATGGAGCTTCAAACAGTCTAATATTGTGCAATGTCTTAAACACCTGGATTAGATTTGTTTAGGCTTATGGAATGGGTGAAATGCCTCCGAGATCTGTTAACCAAACCAGTTAAACCACCCTACTTAAGACGCAGTTCGCACATTGCTTAGTATGCAGCAGAATGAGCTGTCGCCAGAAATGCATGGAATGTATTGAGATACCGTATTTTGGTGAGATGAGATTACGAGAACTGAAAAAACCAGATTCAGGGGATTTCCGAAGGCCTGAGGCTAGGCAATGACCACCAGCTCTGCACACTTTGAACTCTCCCCAAGTGTGTGATTCCTCGTGCACTTATTGTTATGGAATGAATGGTGCCCCCACCCACCCTGAATTCAGATATGAGGTCCTAACCCTCAGTACCTGGGATGTGATCTTATTTGGCGATAAGGTCTTTACAGAGGTGATCAAGTTAAAGGGAGTGGGGGCGCTAACCCAATAGGATTTTAAAATAGGGAAATTTGGACCCGGAGATCCTGATTTCCTTATTTTAAAATAGGGAAATTTGGACCCAGAGATACACTGAGAGAAGACGATGTGAAGGCACAGGAAGGATGCCCTGTGAATATCAGGACCAAGGCCTCCAAGCCTAGGAGAGAGGTCTAGAACAGATCCTTCCCTTGCAGCCCTCTCATCAAACTAACCCTCAAGTACCTTGATTTTGGACTTTTGGCTTCCCGAATTGAGCAACAATAACTTTCTGTTGAAGCCACTCAGTCTCGAAGCCACCCAGTCTGTGGTGCTTAGTTACAGCGGCCCTAGCAAACTTGCCTGCGACTTTCCGAAACCACAGTCCCATTTTGTCATAGGGGAAGAATTATAAGAAGTTCTTTATTGGCTAAGTGAAGGATAGAAGAATAATGAGCATTTCCCTCATCACAGCTCTGACAATTGCCTCAGCCACACATGGCTTATGAGATTGGTTACATCCTCCGCCTTCAGATTGCAGGGAGAGTATGGCCTGGCATGCGTGGAAGCCAGTCTTCTAGTGACCTCCTGGACACAGGCCTCATTTGGGGATCTCCTTCTCGGGCACTTCCTCTTTGGCTCCTGACTTGACCTTGTTGTGTCTCTCTTCCATGCATCCTGTGCCATCTCCGCTGTCTGGAACCAGCAACATGAGGCTGCTCAGGACTTTGATGTTGCTGCTGACCTCAGCATGCCCCAGTCCAAACCTGCCCTTTTCCTCCTGAGCCCACATCCGCTCTGCTCCCCAGTTCCCCTATGTCTTCATCTTTTAATCACATGCTGACCAAACAGTCATATTTAGCCACTCTCTAGTCCCCTCTGCTACATCCACTTTGTTGCCACATCTCCTGAATTCTTCCTTCTGATTTCTTCTCACTCCTCCTTTCCACCCTGTGTCAGTCCATTGGAGACCCATGTCAGGACACTAGATGGCACTGTCTGGATACTTGGAAGGATCTGGTAAAGGATACAGAGAAGTCCAAGGAGGGTTGGGGTGAGTCTGGGATGGGCCGTGGAGTAGGCACCAGGTTAAGCTAATTGGGGGATGGGTGAGGGATGGGGTGAGGGTATCTGTTGCATATATTTTATGGTAATAAAAGGAAGTTGAAAATTCACTTGCTTGCTTTGGGGAATTAAAAATGAGCATGAATGTCAAAATGTGAGCAGCTTTGCACAGCATAGGAATGTCAGTGTCACGGATCATGGCAGAAGCCTTCTTTTTGTTGCCTGCATTTCCTTCCTCTAATATTGTACACACTACCGCCAGACTTCAATATGTAGTTCTGGTTTAATGCATCATTTTATTTATTCACATAGTCAACAAACATTTGCTGAGCATAGTTCTCATTATTGAAATTTAGTAGAAAATGAGACTGAGTAAATCCCTGTTATTTTCCTACCATTCCCTCCATCATCAACTCCTGCTCCAAATCATTCTTTTAGGCTGACTCTTAGTCTTAGTCACCGTGTGTGTGTGTGTGTGTGTGTGTGTGTGTGTGTGTGTGTGTGAACATATGGCAAATATATAACTGGGGCTCCAGATACAGATGTGTAACTCATTTATTATAATCAAAATGAAGGTACTAAACAGTAGAGATGCTCAGTGGTTACTATGGTGATGAGCACTCTGCAAATAGCATTATTCCCTTTTGATGGCATTTTCAATCATAGGAGGAAATGGAGAAAACATGAGAACATTTCCAAAAATGTAGGAATTATCCCCTCTGTCATGTCATGCATTTGTTTTCATTTTTCAAATTTTAAGCTTGAGAACTTTTAAGCTAGATTTTTAAAGTTTATGTGAGGAGAACAAACTTCGTGCTTGGTTTGCTATTCTTCTGATTCCTTAGATTTGT